GTATGGTGTAGAGACTCGTTGGGTGATGCCACGCGAAGCGAGGAAAGCCTGAAAAGCGTCAGAAAGATATTCCGGGGCGCCATCGGAGTACAAGACCTTGAGATGTGTCTTGCAGTGGCTTTCGGCTTGGGCGAGATAGCGCTGAAATGTGCTAAAGACTTCAGAGAGGGATTTGAGAAGGTAGACGGTGGTATAGCGGCTGTAATTGTCAATGAATGTGAGGACATAGGTGGCGCCGCCAAACCTGGTGCCGATGGGAAATGGTCCAGCGACATCAGTGTGAACCAGGTCAAGTGGGGCTGAGCTAGACGAGGTAGAGTTTGGAAATGGCTGGCGGGTCTGCTTCCCACGAAGGCATGAAATGCAGGTGGAAGGTAGGGAACCGTTGAGGCTGATGCCGCTGACCATCTGTTTGGAATAAAGCTGCTGCAAGCTGTGTCCGTTGAGATGTCCAAAGCGCCGATGCCAAAGAAGAGATGAAGCTGCAGAACAGGATGCGGGAACAAGAGGAGGAGGTGCTGGTGCAGTTGAGACCGTGGCCGGCTGCGAAGCTGAGGCAGGGCTGAGAGAAACGAAGAGCAACTTCATGTGCTCATGGGCGACAGCAAGAACCGTGGAGCCTCGGAACACTTGGGAAGGAGCTTGAAGAGGGAAGTGGGTAGTGAGTCATTCGTCTTTCAGCTTACGAATAGAGATGATATTATGAACAGTCTGGGGAATGTATAGGACATCCCTCAGGGTGATAGGATGGGTATGATTGTTGTGACGGGCGTAGACAAGAATTTCCCCAATGCCTTGGGCAGTGTACTGCTCCCCACCGCCAAACTGGACGCCATTACCCGGAAATGGTTGACAGAGGGAGGAAAATAGACGAGGATCATTACAGAGATGCGAGGATGCGCCGGATTCAAGGAGCCAGGAGGAGGAAGAAGGAGAGCTGGTGAGGACGGAGGCGAGAGGCCGCTGGAGCAGGATGGAGAAAAAGAAGAGAAGAAAGGAGATGAGGAGTAGTAGCGATGGGAGGGACGACAGCTAAGAGGTAGGGAGTAAGTGCGCGGCGGCAACATCGGCATAACGAGAATCAATCGAAGATGACAGTGGCGTGGATGACAAATGAGAAGCCGCGAGTGCTGGTGAGGTAACGTCAGAGGTAGGAGAGGGAAGGAGAGGCTGGGCCAGGTGGGCAGGATATGCCAGAGGTGGGAGGGCGGTGTGTGCATCTACCTTGTTGGTCGAGCTTTGAGCGAGGGAACGGAACCGCATTTGCTGTGGCTGGTGGGGCTGGTACGGCTACGACTGTGGCTGGTATGTAGACTGCGGCAGGTATGGCGACTGGTGCTGTTGGTGTAGCTGTTGCTTGCGCTTCTTCTTTTCAAGCTGAGGGCAATGGGTGATGGCGTGAGCAGCATCCTTGTAATTGCGTCAGGAAGTGGTAGACGTAATCGAATGAGGCTTGGAGGATCCAGGTTGAACGACATAAGCACCATCAGCAGGGAGCAACGGATTCTTTGTTGCATGGTCCCACTTAGCATCCACAAGACGTCCCTCGAGCCACTCAAGGGTCATATCCTTTGTTTCTTTGACCGAGCAAAGCGTTTCAGTAAGCGTGTCGTGTCAGAATCCCAACCATTAGACCATTGGGATAAAAAAGGCTTGCTTCAGTAGCGGGTCAGTGCGCCCATAATCCCCCAGGTGAACGCGCCTGTAACCCTTTCCAGGATCAATTGGGTATCCACAGTGCAGATCTACTGACACCCCCCCACACTGGGAGGCCCAGGACTAAGCACAGCGGCAACGGCCTACATGTGCATACACCGGGAATCGAACGTGAGACCGCTCTGATACCATGTCAGAATCCCAGCCATTAGACCATTGGGATAAACGGGCTTGTTTCAGTATCGGGTCAGTGCGCCCATAACCCCCCAGGCGAACGCGCCTGTAACCCTCTTCAGGATCAATCGGGTATCCACAATGCAGATCTACTGACATGTCGTAAGACCGAGGAAGACCCAAAAGGATTGATGTGATGGTCAACCAAGAGGGTAGACTGTAGCCGCTGGTCTGGAGTTGCAGGTCAAGACCGTGAACATGGTCAAAGTAGGCACGGACAGACTGGCAAGGGTCCATGTGGACAGAGAAGAGCTGACGCAGCAAGCCGAATTGAGCTTGATTGCCGGTTTTTGGCAAATTTCTTGTTGAGAAGAGCCCACAACCCGGCAACAGTCTCGGTTGGAGAAATAGGCATCGAGAGCGGGGTGGGAAGCGTGGAGAGAAGGTACAGCAAGGCGCGCTGTTCTTGTTCTGCTGCTGCAAGGGCAAGGGTAGTAGCAGCTGGGCGAGCCGGGTTGGATGGAGCTACTGGCGCAGCATCTGCCGTGGAGGCCGGAGCATTGGTAGAGGAAGAGGCGGATGAGGATGTGAGCGTGGAATCACCAAGAGCGTCGACGATGCCCACAATTTGGAAGGTGAGGACCACCATCCGCTTCCAATGATTGAAGTTGGAGCCATCAGGGAGGAGGGAGGGCAAAGTGAGCCTCCCCAAATGACTGTCCACTGTAGTCATAGTTAAGATGAACAAAAATAGGTTGTTTGATGGCTAAATGCTGAAAACGAAGTACAGCCAATGGTCCATAGATATGGAGGAAAACCAGCAATGCTTCTAAAAGGTCTATTGTAGTGCAGTAGAGGCTGACCAACGGAGGCTCAGCTATAGCTCTGATATAATGTAGATAATCAGACCTATGTGCACAATGTGCACTAGGAGAAGCTGGTTCTGAAATGTTGAAAAGGGTCTACAATCAGAAAGTTAACTGAAGTGATGAATACAAGCAAAACAAAAGCTAAAATGGGCAGAAAATGAAGAGAGCTACCTTGGAGGCGACTTGGGCTGGTCCAAGAGAGGAATTTGGTATCCAAGGGACTTGGGGTGGCCAAATGGGTGCTCAAGTCGCCCACAGTCAAGATGGGGACTCGAGGGACCCTCAAAGTGGGCCTGGAAGCGCCCTCTCTAGTGGAACCGCGATTCCACGAATTGGAAACGCGAATTCCAAGCTGGAGCCGCGTTTCCAATGTTGAAATTCGTGGGTCCAGGCTGGAGCCGCGTCCCCAAGGTTGGGAAACGTGTTGGGGTGCCCTAAAGCCGAATTTGGGGTGCCTAGCACTTGATAAAGTCACTCAGGGGGCACCCTATAACTAAAATAACCCAACCCCTATTGTCTACACTATTATGATGTAAGCAAATACATACAAACCATAAAACAAATTAGTGAACTAACCTTCAGCATAATTAAAGGAAAATAAGTACCCAACAACACCATCCCCCACTGTTTCTTCATGCCCCACTGTTTCACCATCCCCCACTGTTTCCCCATGCCCCACTGTTTCCCCATCCCCCACTGTTTCCCCATGCCCCACTGTTTCCCCATCCCCCACTGTTCACTCCACGGTTTCCCCATCCCTCACTGTGCACCCCACTGTTTCCACATCCCCCGCTGTTCATCCTCCGCTCCCCGCACTCACCATCCCCCACTTCTCCCTTGTACTCACCTTCCCCTGTCAGAAAAGCCTCATAACTCACACCTTAGTGACCTAGGGTTTAGCTTGGAAGGGTGAGTATCGAGAGAGTTGTTTGGTAAGCAAAAGAGGAATGCACTATGGAGTGACAAGTTCAAATAGGCAGGAACAATGGTGCACCACCAACAATGAAGCAATAACTACAGTATACCTTCAAACGATTATATAAAATATGCAAACATATTTTCACACGCCCCCATAATTGTTTGGAGGAGTTAGTGTAAAACACCCCCCGAAGGGATACACCAAGAGTGCAGCGGAAATAGCAAAGGGCAATTTGAGGAGAAAGTGGCTGATGCTGCAGTTAGAGTCAAACCACCCCCTCAAACCCCCCAACAACAGCAGCAGTGGCACTGAGGAGAGAGAGGAGGCGTGGCGGCAGTTGCTGCAGTTGGGTCACGCCCTCAACCCCCCCCCAACTGCCGCACGCGCAGCAAGGAGAGGGAGGAGGCTGGCGCTGTAGGTGCAGCCTCCCCTTCACACCTTCCGCCCCCCCCCCCTCCCCCCCCCCCCTTCCCCCCCAAAACTACTGCACGAGCAGCAGGGAGAGGGGGGAGAATTGGTGGGGCGGAATAGGGGCTGCTCCGCGGCTGCAGATGCACACGCAGTGGGGAGCAGTCGCGCGCACCGCAGTTGCCACGCACTGCAGCAGGGCACACGGGGCGCGCGGCTGACAGAAACCGACGCGCGCCCAGAGCGCGCATCGGGCAGGAACCGGCGTGCGCAACGGGCGCGCGACGGGCAGGATAAAATGAGAGATCCGCGGTGGGCCCATGGGGTAGTTAAAAACAACAGGGCAGGATCTTACGTGCTCTGATAGCATGTCAGAAAAGCCTCATAACTCACACCTTAGTGACCTGGGGTTTAGCTAGGAAGGGTGAGTATCGAGAGAATTGTTTGGCAAGCAAAAGAGGAATGCACTATGGATTGATAAGTTCAAATAGGCAGGAACAATGGTGCACCACTAGCAATGAAGCAATAACTACACCACACCTTCAAACGATTATATAAAATATGCAAACATATTTTGACATCCCCCACTGCTCCCCTCTATTCACCTTCCCCCACCGCTCCCCTGCACTCACCTCTGCTCCCCTGCATTCACCTCTGCCGCAATTGCTAAACCATGCGCCATCCCATCACACCTGCCATCCTGCCGTCCCACCTCACCCCACCCGACCCCACCCCACCCCACCCCTCCTTGCGCATGTGGCGTTCTCTCCTGCGGGGCGCCTTGAAGAAACGCCCTCTTGCCTTGCCGCCATGACATAGCAAGAAAATGCATATATGTAGGGTATTAAGTACGGTAGGAACACGAAAATAGGAGACTATTTGTACTTGTGTGCGTGTGTTGACATAAGGGGTGTCGCTTCGGGCTGGTTTTGGCTAGGCCCGGAGGGGAAGCATGTCGATCTGAGCCCTAGCCCATGCAAGCCTGTCAGGTCGGGGCTTGGTTCATTCGGAGAGGTCCGGGGCGGCTCGGGGAGGTAAGGCCCAAGCCAGGGGAGGTCGGGCCAGGCATAAATAGGATCAGGAAGAGAAATAGAAGAAAGAGGAAGAAACAAAAAGAAAGGGAGGCAGGGAGAGAGAGAGAGAGAGAGAGAGAGAGAGAGAGAGAGAGAGAGAGAGAGAGAGAGAGAGAGAGAGAGAGAGAGAGTAAAAGGAGGCACGGATGGAAGAGCAAGAGAAATGTCAAAACATACGCATATCATTATCTAGGCTATATTGGGGCTAGCCTTAGGGGGTACAGAAACTTTCTCGACACTCTAGCCTTGTACCCTTGACCTAATCTCATCATTCTTGCCTTAGTTCTTAACATGGTAACTAGAGTAGGAGGTATCTAGGACCTAAGAATCAGGCCCACCTAACTGTGTTTCCCTAACTACTGCCTGCCCGCCTTGCCTATCGCCCGCGCGCGCCTCGGCTGCAGTGCGCGTCACCCTTTTTTTCGCGCGCGCCTCGACAGCTAGCGCGCGCGTCACACTCTTTTTAGCGCGCGTCACTGTTTTTAGTGCGCGTCACTGTTTTTAGCACGCGTCACTGTTTTTAGCGCGTGCCACTGCTGCAGCGCCGCGCGCCGGCCCGCGTCGCTCGCGCAGCCCGCGTAGCCTGCCGTCGCGTACAGCCCGCCGTCGCCCCGCACGCCGCGTCTGTCGCCAGCGCGGCCCGCCACTGCGCCGCGCGTCGTGACGGCCGCCTGTGCGGCCCGCTGCTGCTTAGAGCGCTGCTTTAGAAGCTCGCGTGCGGCCGCTTCTGCCTGCTGCATGCTGTCTCCTGCCTGCTGCCTGCTGCCTTTGTCTTTGCCTGTGGCCTGGTGCCTGCTGCCTATTGTCTGCTACCTCCTGCATCTTGCCTCTGCCTGCTGCCATTATGACGACGCCTAACGTTCTCGCGTTCGAGCCTGACGGTCACCCCATAGAGTTCGCTGTGTGGTTAGATTATCTCCAACTGTTCCTCCTCACCGATGCCAAAGAGGGCGTTTCACTGTTCGATTACGTGTCTGGTACTGCCGTTGCTCCTGCTACCGATGCTCCTGCTCTCGAACGCTCGTAGTGGCAGACTCGCGATGCTGCTGCACGCCTAGCTATTCGGAATCATCTGCCGATTACTGAGCGCGCGCATTTTAGCCAGCACAGAACTGCTAAGACGTTGTACGACGCTGTAGTTGCGCGCTACTCCTCCCCGGCCACTGCAGCCATAGGTCGGCTCATGCTACCCTACCTGTTCCCCGACCTTTCCTCGTTCACCACTGCTGAGGACCTCATTTCCCACCTACACGCTACTGACACTCGCTTTTGTGCTGCCCTTTCAGCCGAGTTCCGTGCCGCAAACCCCCCCCCCGCGATGTACTTCACTCTCTATTTCCTCGTCACCCTCCTCCCTAACACTCTTAGCTAAGTCAGGGACCACTTCCTTGCGCTAGACCCCCCCACTCTCACTGTTGATGACTTCGAGAAGCACCTCCTCGCAGAAGAGAAGAACATCCTTGCTGTAGGTGCTGCTCGTGGCACTCCTCGCTCTCCCCTCTTTGAGGGGTGCCCCCCCTCCCCTCTCACCCCCTCCTATGCCTCCGCAGCTGCTGCTCATGACTACCTTGGTGCAGAGGAGGTCGGGGCTTCTTTCGCTCCTAGTGGGAAGTGTCGCAGCGGCAGGGGCGGCAAGGGTGGCAGGGGAGGTGGGGGTGGCGGTGGAGTTGGCGGTGGTGCAGGCGGTGGGGGAGGTGGAGGTGGTCGTGGTGGTGGAGGTGGTGGTGGGGTCGGCGGAGGCACTGGGAGCGGTGGAGGTGGTAGCAACGGCGGTGGGGGAGGAGGGAGCAGCGGTGGGGGAGGAGGGAGCGGTGGTGGCAGTGGTGGTCAGGGCCAGCAGCAGTCGCAGCCGCAGCAGCAGCAGCGTCAGCGCCAGACCCCCACTTCCCAGCAGCTTCTTGACTGGTATGCCGGACGTGGGGTGTCTGGGGGTCTTGGTCGCTGCCCCTATATAATTCGCTCAGGTCCACGCACTTGTCGCCAGTGCACAGGGTTTCACACTGAGTAGCGCTGCTTCGCTCGGCTTAGCGACGCCTGGCATGCCAAGTTTCCTGATGCTTCTGAGTTCCCCAACTGGGCAGAGCTGCTTAGGCGTGATGTACCTATATTTGATCTTGACTATGAGGCTATTCTTGCTGCTATGTATGCATTGTCTGTTAGTGCTGAGGGTGACTGCTACTTGTGTGTGCCGCCGGATCCTGGTATAGCCCCTGGTATAGCGCCTGCAGCACTAGGTGCTTGTGAGTCTGCTCCCCTTGGTATTGCTCCTTCACAGGCCTTGCACACTTTTACACTTGACTTTGGTGCTTCCCGCTGTTTCTTTCGCGACAGTACCACAGTCACTCCCCTCCCTGCACCTGTTCCTGTCCTACTGGCTGACCCCTCTGGGGGCCCAGTGCTTGCACGGTCTTCCACCGTGCTTCCGTGTCCGGCGGTCCCGTCTGGTGAGCTGTCTGGTCTCCACCTCCCCTCGTTCTATACAAACTTGGTGAGCAACGCTGTCCTCCAGAATGCAGGGGTTGACACCTTCACCCCTGGCCGGCAGCGTGTAGCGATTTGCACATGCTCCCGGACCGGCCGCCACCTGGCCACGTTCACTCGTGCGCAAGGGTCCAGTCTGTACACCCTCACCGCCGCGTCACGCTCCGCCCCTTTGTCTCCCCAGTTACACGCGCCTGCTCAGGTAGCTACCCAGTGTGAGTGTCGCCGGCTGTCGCACGACACTCTCCTGTGGCACCACCGCCTTGGTCACCCCTCCCTACCTCGCCTGCGTAGCATGCACTCTCGCTTCCTGGTCTCTGGTCTTCCCAGGTCTCTGCCTGCCCTCCCTCCCTCGCCTGCGCTGCCCTGCATTCCTTGCGTCAAGGGGCGGCAGCGCGCCGCTCATCACTCCTCCTCGTTACCTCCCACAGAGTCTCCACTGCAGACTCTCCACCTGGACGTGTGGGGCCCAGCCCGCGTCCGTGGACAGGGCCACGAGTGGTACTTCATGCTGGTTGTTGACGACTACACGCGTTACACCACGGTCTTCCCCTTGCAGTGCAAGGGGGATGTCACTGATATTTTAATCCCCTGGATCCGCGCTGCTCGTCTCCAGCTCCGCGAGCGGTTCCAGTCGAACTTTCCTGTCCTGCGTCTGCACTCTGACAGAGGTGGTGAGTTCTCCTCAGACCTCTTGGCGGCTTTCTGTGCGGAGCACGGCATCTGCCAGAATTTCACGCTTTCGGCCTCTCCGCAGCAGAATGGGGTTGTTGAGCGCCGCATTGGCTTAGTCATGGAGGTCGCTCGTGCCTCCATGATCCATGCGGGTGCCCCCCATTTTCTATGGCTGTTTGCGGTCCGGTACGCCGCGCACCAGCTCAACCTTTGACCCCATGTCTCCTTGCCGGAGACCTCGCCCACACTGCTGTGGACGGGGAAGGTTGGCGACGCGTCGCATTTCCGGGTCTGGGGTGCTCGTGCTTTTGTCCGCGATACCGCTCCGGACAAACTCTCCCCTCGTGCCATTCCTTGCGTCTTCCTTGGCTTTGTCCCTGACGCGCCTGGCTGGCAGTTTTACGACCCCGCCTCGCGCCGTGTCTTTGCGTCTCAGTACGTCACCTTTGACGAGTCGGTCCCCTTTTACCGCCTCTTCCCCTATCGCACTGCTCCTCGCCCCCTCCCGCTGCTCTTTCTTGCCCCAGGTCCTCCCCAGGTAGACCCCCTCCCTACGCCAAGCCCTGCTCCTTCAGGTGTTTCTCAGGTAGACCCTCCCGTCCCTGCGCCTGTTGAGGTCACTGGTGACTCCGGTTCTGCTGGGAGTGGTGTTGTCCCTGGGGGTGCGGAGCTTGGGGGTGCGCAGCGTGGGGGTGCTGAGTCTGGGGGTGCTGAGCGTGAGGAGCCTGAGGGTGCGGAGCCTGGAGGAGCTGAGCCTGCGCGTGAGGAGCATGGAGGTCCTGAGCCTGGGGGTGTTGCGTCTCGGGGTGCTATGCCTAGGGGTACTGAGTCTGGGGGTGAGTCGCCTGAGGGTTCTGAGACTGCTGTTACGTGGTCTCCTTGGAGTAGCCGTCTTCGTCCGCGTGTGCCTCTCACCTCTCAGCAGCTGCACGGCTGGTACGGTCGCCATCAGCGTCGCGCTTCTGCACCTCAGGGCTCTACTGCTGGGGGTTCTTCTGTTGGTGTCACTGGAGCTGGGAGTGGTGCTAGTCCTTTGCCTGCTGGAGGTGCTGGTGTCGCTGGTCCCGGAGGTGCTCGTACTGGGGGTACTGGAGCTGCTGGGGCTGGCGGTGGTGTGTCTGAGGGTACTGCTGCTGGTTGCACTGCGGTTGGAGACCATGGGCCTAGAGGTGCCGCATCTGGGGGTGCTGCACTAGGAGGGGCTGGAGCTACTGAGGGTGTTGGAGCTGCTGGAGGTACTGGACCTGCTGAGGGTACTGGAGTTGCTGGAGGTCCTAGAGCTGCTGAGGGTGTTGGAGCTGCTGGAGGTACTCGAGCTGCTGAGGGTACTGGACCTGCTGGAGGTGCTGGAGCTGCTGAGGGTGCTGGAGCTACTGGAGGTGCTGGAGCTGCTGAGGGTGCTGGAGCTGTTGGTGCTGGTGGCACTGCACAGCCGCGCCTGTTCTTTGCTCCGCCGTCTCCGTTGTCTCTGCAACCGCCTGACTCTGTACTTCGCCAGGTTCTTAGCCTCCCGTCGTCTACTGGTCTTCCGTTACAGCCTGGCTCACCTCTGCCTGGTCCTTCTCCTTACACTGAGCAGACAGGGGGCCTTGCTGAGCGTCGTGAGCCTGCGTCGCGTCCTGTCTCACCTGTCCATTCTGGTCGTTCCAATCGTCGTGTTCCTCGTCAGCGTCAGCCAGTTGTCCTCGGCCCTTCCCTTGTAGTCCGTCGTCCTTCCTCTCCTCCGCAGCGTGTTCCTTTGCCGTCTCCTCCTACATGTTCTCTGCATGTCGTTACGGACCCTGAGTCTGACCGGTCTCATGCTGAGCACCCTACTGTCATGCGTCTGCTAGCCACTGTTGTCACTGACCCAACCTTTGAGTCTACTGCTGCGTCTGCCTTTGTCGCTGAGCTGGTTGACTTTCCCGCTGCCTGTCGTCTAGACTACGCTGCTAGTCTTGTTGCTGAGTCTGAGTCTATCTGTCCTCCGTCCGTCGGGGGTGCGTGTGCTCTTAGCACGGACGTCCTTGAGGACAGGCACGAGGACCTTGAGTGTCT